CCCCCCCCCCCGCCCCCCCTTTCCCCCTCTCTCCGCCACGTGTCCTCCCGTCGTCCCGCCCCCTTCTGATCGATCACCTCCGAGTCTTCGGAAAGATTGGCCGCAACGAAAAATTGTTCTGCCTCGCGAAATTCTAAATCTCAATGGGGACAGTCGGACATTATGTGGTTTCCGCGGCCGAGATCCCAACTGTCGTTGTCGATGCCGCGATTGTTGATGTCGATGATACCTGTACAATAGAATGCCACGTGTCCGGGGAGGAGCAGTGCCACGTGGACCCGTTGCCGGGAAGCCTAGGATGGCTCTCGATTCGAAGACACAAAACGGAACGCCTCTCAGATCCGCTCGAACAGGCTCTGCAATCTGCCTCCCTCCCTCCCTCCCTCTCATCCACCCATACTCGAGAATATGCGCAAAAAAGAATCTCGCGGGCAAGGAAATTCACTTGACGCTCCCGTACATTTCCATCCTTGTGCTCCTTCCCCCTCCTCATCCACCCTCCCTCTTCAAGCCCTCTCTCTCTCTCTCTCTCTCTCTCTCACCGGCCTCCGCCCCCTCCCTTTTCATTTGCCTCCTATCTCCTCTGTGCGCGGCAATGTACAGTTCATACATCCCCTGCACATAACCAATGAGAGTACGCAAACAAGGACGAAACGACAAAACCCCATTCACGAGTTAGTGAGGCCACATGCACGCTGCCAGCCAGCCGACCATCGTTTTCAATCTCTCTCTCTCTCTCTCTCTCTTTCTCTCGCTCTCGCTCTCTCTCTCTCTCTCTCTCTCCTATGGCTGCATTGCTCAAATTCAGATTGCACCAAAGAAGGAAGAGACAAACGCATACAAAAACTGAAAGTCCGATGTTTAGACTGACCGGAGATGGAGATTTTCCACGGAGGAGGAGGGGAGGCTGGACCCGATTTTTTATTTATTTATTTTTTTTCCCCGACTTCCACCAGCAGCCCGGAAAAAAAGAGGGGGCTACCAATAAAGAAATAAAAAAGATCACTTTTTTTTTTTCAGTAAATATGCGTAAGACATTGACCGTGGGCAGATTTGGGTCGCTCTGATGCCTAATAGGAAGACGGGGCAAGCCGTTTCCCTTTTTTTTTTTCACATCTCGTTCTTTTTTTTCTTTCTACCCTTTGTTGAATCAATCAATGACGAAGCCCGTCAATTTGAATTTTGAGCCAAAAAAAAAAAAAAGAAAACCAACAATACCAACGAGCCTGCTTTTCTGAAATACCTGGGGCCGCCGGTCATTTCCATGATGATTGCACCCTTCCTGAGGGCGTGCTCACACTCTCAGGGCATACTCACACGGGGAGCTGGTAACCCAAAATCTCAAAATTTGGGTCCTCCCCCTACCCTATTGTACTTTTTGGTCACCCTATTGTCAGTGGCCTACCGCGCCGCGAGAGGACCCAATTTGAGACCCCCTCCCCCTCCCGAGGTGGTCTCAAATGCCCTTTCGATTTTTTCATTTTCAACTTATGTAACTGCGACAGCCCACGTGTTATTTATTTAGGCGCATGCAACAACCAAAAAAAAAAAAAAAAAAAAAAAAAGGGGCGTACCAAAAAAAAAACGAACAATCCATATACTTTTTCGAGTCCTGACCCGCCGTGTGACTGCCTTGCCCTGAGGCTGCGACTTTGTACTTTCGGGACGAAGTCCGCCCGTGCGTGTGACCACACCAGCAGGACCTCCTCAAGTCCCAAATAGGCAGAGTACCGATTGCCGCATTTTTTTGAGACTGTAGGTCCTCATGTGAGTATGCGCTCACTTTCGAATCCTCGTGTATTTGACCTCAATTACGGCCACGACCTTCCTCCACTGGGCCGATCTGACGGCACCCAATTCCAGGGCCCAAGTTCCACTTACCCTCACCCCTCGTTTCTAACCACAGATTGAAGAGATCCTGCACTCCATTGGTCCCATTCTCCCTTAAATCCTGCACTTGGGCCCAATTGCAGAGATCCTGCACTTGTGACCGTAGATCTCTGCAAGTGCAGGATTTCGGCAAGTGGGACTGGGCCCACAAGTGCAGAATTTTGGCACGTGGGACTTGGCTCCACAGCTCAGTCGAAACATTTCCAGAGCGCTGAAACCGTAGTGTCGTTGGGAATGGGGACCTAGATCTCTGCAACGTTCACTGCCGTACTGTCGTTGGGTTTCTTCATTGGCTCAGACTTCAACATTGTAGCAGCACAATAATAAAAAAATAAAAAAAAATAAAAAAAAAACATTGCACAAAAGCAGTTTAATCGCCATTTGCTGCACCGCTCCACAATCACGTCCAGATTCATGCATTCAATCCAATCCTGTTTGCCAGTGGGATCCCACCCAGCTGTCGTTCAGTGTGCGTGAGGTGCCAAAATTTCTCATGTGAGCACGACAAAAAAAAGAAGGAAAAAAAAAAGGCATGTGAGCACGGATGGATGCAGATGGAGATCACATACTGCACGGCCCCGCATTCCTCCATCCAAATTATTTTTTAAAATATCAGTTACATAAACATAGTATGTGAGCATCACAGCAGGAACCAAAAAAAAAAAAAAAAAAAAGAGGCATGTGGAGTCATTGTGGGACCCAGTTGGAGCGAGCGATGATGGGAAAGGACTCGAGGGAGGGTGGCATGATCTTCGGCCACAGATCACTCACGAAACTCCACTAAGGTAGGTAGGTACTAGTATCTAGGTACCAGGGTCAGGTTGAGATGGATGGGGGCAAATGGATTAAAAATTCGGCCCAATTGGAACGTGGGAGACTGGGACCAATTGGAGCGTGGGACCAATGGAAGGAAGGAATGGGAATTCAATGTCTCAAATTTCGACATCGAATTCACCGCTGCACACAAAGAGAGAGAGAGAGAGAGAGAGAGAGAGAGAGAGAACAAAGCTTACTATGTTTAATAAACTTTATATTTTTGATATATATATATATATATTTTTTAGGTTCCGATGGCTCCTTTCTATTGGCGGGGTTAAGCATACTTTCATACTTTTCATGGACAAGAGGAGAGCAGACAAGATCCAAGAATCCTTTATCAGTGTAAGAACATGTTTATTTAATATTAAATTATTTGTTCATATGAATTTTGTTTCTTAGTTTTAATTGGATGCGTGTGCTTGCCTGCTCAGGCTTCATCTCCCACCGTTGGTGGTCCCGCACCAGAAGGAGAAAGGGACTTTCTTTTTTCTTTTTTTCTTTTTTTTTTCGTGTGTGTGTGTGGGTGGTGGGGGGAGGGGGAGGGAAGGGACATTTTTTGCAGAAACGTCAAGTTGTAACCCTGAGTTTAAAATTTGCCTCTGAGCGAGACAACGATGCGTGTGCGTCCCAAACTTGCCGAAGGAACACTCAGTCTACCGTAGGCAGAGGATTGAGGGACTGTTTCAACTGCTTCTGGCTGTGATTGGGACCA